GCCCCATTATCCGCGTAAATGGAAAACGTTTAATTGGTGAATCGTTTACTGACCGGCTGTCAAGAAATTTCATTCCATTGATTCATTTGTCTGGCGCATTGTTGTTGTTGGAGGCCCAGTGATTAAGCAACACTTCTCCTAGCCAGTTTCAAGACCAATAACAAGTCCCCTTTACATTGCCTTCATCCTTTCTTTACTTGTCCTTTTCCCCGGGAACTTTAACACCATCATTAATGGTTGGGGAGCAATAGCACCCCAATAGCACCCCCGGAGCTATTCGGCGCCGAGCGGCGCTATTTTGGCCCCGAATAGCACCGCTCGGGGCTGAATAGCACCCCAGAATAGCACCGGTGCTATTCGCGTAGAACATTGTAGTGCTGCCGTGATGCTATTCGGCGTAGGCATTGGACCCCCCATTGCTGATGCGCGCAGGGGAGCAATAGCACCGGTGCTATTCGGCAAATGCCGCCTTAGTAAGGTGGCACGGCAGCCAATGAGAACCGTTCCTGGATAGCTCCACCGGTGCAATAGCACCGACCGATAAAGATGCTCTATAAGTAGACAATGATTCCGAACACATCCACTAAAAATATCAAGACTGGCTGCATGTGCTCAAAACCCTCGCCACCTGTGACGTGACCTCGGCCAGATCCCGGATCCCTCACGCGCTGACCTGGCGAATTTGTCGGCTCATCCATCCGCCCACCCAATACCCACGAGCTCCTTCAGCCCCTGACGCTGCATCCACTCCGGCCACAAGGCGTCGCGTCGCCCCCATTTCGCCCAGGCTGCTCTGCATACTCCTTCGCGGACGGCCCTGTCCGGAGGAGCGGCCCACCAGCCGCGAGGCTGGGTAGTCGTTAGGGGCGACAGGGCATCCGATCGGCGACAGGAGTCGCTGGACGGCCGGCGGGATGGTTCTGATGGCGACGTGGGCAGCGGCGGGCAGCGCGGTGGACGATGTCAAGCCGCCGGGAAGAAGGGCGGCCGCCCAGCGCAAGAGGTGGGGGTTAAATTTTCGCCGGGGATTTGGTGCCAACGGGGTGAGATTTGTTGCAAAGAGGAAGAGGTTTGTTGCAAAGAGAAAGAGAAGGGGGTTGTTGGTGCGAAGGGCAAGGCGTCCCGAGCAGGTGTACCCGAGAATCTTTGCCGTGGCGTAAAAAGATGATGTGGAGACTCCGGTGATGCGAGTGGAGCGTGCGACAGCGTCCCACGCGGCTTAGTTTGTTGGAGGTTTGTGGGGCGGCGTGGGTCGACATGCGGTGAGCAGGCGAGGTGCTGGAAGGGCTGTGCGCGTGAAGGTGGTGGAGTTTGTGGGTGTTAGGGGGTCAGGGATCCGCGTGATTGACACGCGAAGCGGGGGAAGGGGAGGGGGGGGGGGAGGTGGAGAGGACTTTTGTGAGGCGATGCTGCCTCTCGGTGCGAGCTTCTGGGCGGGTTCCCCGCCGCTGGAGTGCGGGAGGGCGTGCTGTGGCCGGGGCCGTGATTGCGTCAGACCTCAGCGGATGTGCCACAACGATGTGGGGATGGCGCGGCTGGGGCTGGGGCCAGAGGCGCCTGGCTCGCTGATCCGCGCATTTTGGCGTTTTTGCGCATTTTTCCGTCGAGTTTCGCGGCGGGTTTGACGCCCGCGACGGCAGCCCCCGAGCTCCGCGAGCGTCGTCGCTGGTTGCCGAAACATCCTTTGTTTGCTGGGCCCCCTCAGCCGTGGCCCTTCCCCTCCGCCATGGCGCGAATTTCTTCTTCAGCGGAGGGCACAAGATTGTCGCCGGTTGGCACATTCACCGCGCGAATACTGCCTCCGAACGGTATCTATTGTGGGTGGCCGGCCCCACAACTGGCGCCATTGATGTAAGTGGATCGGCAGGTGCCGACGCCTCCGGGCGTCGGACGCCCCCCGGACCAAACCAGCCGTCGAGGACGCAATTCGACTCCATTGGATTGCCACAAGAACAGGCCTCGTGGGCGTCGCCAAAGCGGCGCGATCCTGGCCCGCTTTACCGACTCGCGACTGCCTTGCCGCATGCGAAACCCCCAGGCCTCAGCTGCTGATCACCGGGAGTTCATGGCCTTGATGTAGCCCCAGGGTGCTGCTGTCCTTTAAGCGGATTGAGAAGCAGCTGTGCAGCTGTGCCTTTGCCCTCACTTGGCTTTGACGCTGACTGCGGACTTCAGAGTTCCACCTGTCTCTGGCTCGGGCTGTGTTGCTGCCTGTCTTCGGTTGTAATGTGCAACACCACTGTTGTGTCCTGAGGAGGCAAATGCCATCAAGGGAATGCATCGTACTGCAATTGCTGTTGTGAACTGTCTGTTGTCGGCTGGAAATGGGTAGAAGTGTTCTGTCTGCATTCTTTGGCATCGTTTGTTTGGCATTTGTCTTTTCCAGTCGGAAATCTGTGTGCTATGCTTGTCTGCTTTGAGCACAGAACTCTACACAGTCAAAGTTGGCCATACATGGAATGGGCACAACAAGTTTCTCACAGCTCCATTCCCCTCTGCATTTGAGAGGTTTTCCCCCTGCTATTGTGGCCAGTCATCAGAACTTGTTCTTGAAAAGTGGTGACTTTGAGTACTGCGGGATAGCGACAGCACTCCAAGCAGATGCACTGACTGCCTTGTGCCATGCAGTGCTGAGAAGGTCCTCAATTATGCCTCCATGGCGCTGCACGGAGCTGCTGGGGCATGTTTCCTGTATGTGTGGCTGTGGCACATGACTCCGGCAGCTGCCCTTCTCAAGGGAGCAAGCGAGTACGGCTGGTTCTTTAGGTATTTGACCTTCTGCTCCTTCACTATGCAGACCATACAGCTCATGTCTGCCATCATGGCAGACCTGCGAAAGGTGAGCGCCCAGTTGATGATCCCATGCAAGGATTGCTGTTTTGTGCAGGAAACCCGGTGATTTGTGCAGTCTGATTGTAGGCTGGTGGAAGCAGGAAGTCAGTATCGTATTGGCAGCAGTGTTTGGCTGAGAAGCAACTGTTGGTACTGAGGGAAGTTGTAAGCTGAAGTGAGTGGATGTTGCTTGCATTCCGCAAGAAGCAGAAACATGACTGGCTTTATCCACTCAATTATCCATACCCATACTTATTCGCCACATACACCCATATATTGGGTCCACTTGTGTGTGCACTTTTGCCCATTGATTCGTATCCATATGGTTTGCTTATTTTATGTATCCAATGCACTTCCAATGCACTTGGAGGCCTATTTACGGATTGTACGTTTGTGCATTTGTGTGTGGATTGTAGTTGCCTTGTTGTTTGACAAGCACAACAGTGAACTGCTCAGTTGCACATGGCACACCAGCTCCTCTCCCAGCTTTTGGAGATACCCATATTGAGGAATCGTGTGAAATCGTTGTGAGATTTTCATTTGGATCAAATCATGAGAGGCATTCTTCTGTAAGGCGATGTGGCAAATTCACTCTGTGCTCTGTGCTCTTACTCTCTAGGGACCATAGTTGTAGCTGGAAATCCCTTGAGTTGCATTTGCCGCAAATTCAGCCCATCTGTTAATGAACACCTGCGATTCGATGGAGCCGAGACACAGTTAAGGGTGCAGGCAGTGTCTTCTAACAGAAACGATGATGGAACACTGTTTTGGAAAAGTTGTACAAGAATTGGTACTGTGTAGTACTGTGTGGTGCTGACTGGCAAAAGTTAGTACTTGTAGTACAGCTCAGGGTGCGAGAAATGTCTTGTTGTAGTGGAAGTATCATTCTGCAGAAGTGACCACAGACACCAGTTTGTTGTTTGACTGTTTGTAGTGCTTGTGGTTGGCTGCAGCCATCAGGGCTGCAGGCGGGGGTTGCATCAGTACTGTTGCAGATGCACTGGCTCCCTGATGGGGGGAACGCATGGGACATGTGCTGTTGTGTCAGGTGTTTTGCACCAGCAACCTGCCCTATCCACAGACACCAGCCCACTGCCTCATGCAGATTTGGCAGGCACTTGGAGGCAGATGTGCTTAGTGGCACATGAATATGCAGCCATTAACTTTGCAGACGTTCCTTCCACTCCGGTACTCATCAGCATGGATGCACATCTGTCATGTTAGTGACGCAAGTCAAGATACAGATTTTGTGTTCTGAATTTTGAACTTTGAATGTTTGGACGGCTCTATCATTAATCAGCCTGCATCTGCAGGGTAAGAACGCGGACCTCTGCCGCCTGGCGGACGACCTGTCCTGCCTGGTGTTCGTCACGGCCAACACCGTGACCATAATGTACTACGGCCTGGAGGCCCTGACCCACAACCTGTCCGAGGGCACCACCGTCGTGGTGTGGGTGAACTTCGCCGTGCACAGTGCCAACTCCATCGTCGTGTGGGTGGACCTGCTGCTGTGCCAGCCGCGGTCCTTCAGTGCCAGGGCCCAGCGCTGGACGGTGCTGTTTGTGGCCCTGTACTGCATCTGGATTGTGCGCATCAAGACTGTGCGGGGCGCCTTCCCTTACCCCTTTCTGGATGAGCTGGCCAAGACGGTTCCGTTCCCCTACAATTTCCTGATGGTCGCCGCTGGTGGGGTGTGCATCATCTTCACGATGTTCAGACTCGGTCGGTTCCTCAGCGGCCGGATCACCCTGTCACTGGGCAGGGCCGAGGACTGCGATCAGATGGAGGTTAGGGGAGAGATAAAGGTGGATTGAGGGCGGCGGGGTGGGTGGGGAGCTGACCTGCCCGCCTTTGCCATGGCTGTGTACCATAAAAGGACGGGCGCTGCGAGCACGCTGGCTCGTGTGGTGGCGCCCGGTGGGCAGGGCGTTGATGCCTTGCTCCCGTTTGGTTTGGAGGATGACACTGGGCGGACTGCGCCGGAGATCGGGCCCGGTGGAGCAATAATGGGGTGGCCGGCGTGGTGGCTGGGCGTGTGGCCTGTCTGGAATTTGGGACAGATGTTGGTTGTTGGTTCTGCGAGTGATGGATTGCATGCGGAAATGAGGACTTCGACGCTGTGCCGAGCATGGAGCTCTCCAGAGAAAAATGGCTCAGCACCGTCCTTTGGGATGACTGTATCATTGTCTAGAGTCACACGGTGGGGCTGCCAGGTTCCATCCAACCGTCGCACACACGAAGGCAGTCGCCCCGAGGCGGGTATATGTGGACTCAATAGGCAAATCGAGCAACACAGCACACTTGGCGTCAGCCCGCTCAGGGATGCAATGCCTTGTGCCACTGTGGATGTAACTGCCGCATCACTGAGGGCCGTCTAACTGCGTGCACCAGTTCCGCTCAATGAGGTGGCACAGGGCGACTCCCAAGAGTCGACTCCTCAATGCACAGAAGGGTCTCCCCACTGTGTTGCCACGAACCAAGTGCTCGATTCATCAGTCAGCATCATCGATAGTCCTTCAGGAAAATGAATGAGGTCAACGAAGCTTTAGCCCGCATTAGACTGGCCACGTCTTGGCGTTATGCAGTCCGTACGATTGGCTGCACGCAGCTTCTTGCGCACCTCGCACGTGCCCCATGCGCCCACGCCAAGAACATGCAGCGGCGTGCACTCGGGCTACAACGGAGACTGAAAGGCCGTCAGCCATAGTCCACACGGCAGCCAGCGACCATCGGAGACAGCCCACCCTACGCTTAGTAAGGGTGCTGGTGCAATCCAGCGCGCAGACCCCATCGACTTTGGCATTGCCTGACGGGCATTCCCATCCCAAAACGCACCGTTTGGGAGTGGAAGGACACCTCTCACCGTTGAACACGACGTCATCGCAACGCAGCCAACAAGAAGCCGAAGTGCTTCTGCATGATACAGTCGGGAGCCTGTATCGCGGATTTTCGCGCGGCACTTTGGGCTTCGGTCATTCTCTTGTGGTCCTTGGAGATTTCTTGGCCGAGGCAAATTGACAAAGCGTTCTCGAGCAAACAATGTGGACTGCAGTGCTCCAGCCATCCGCTCGCAAATGCAGGGGCAACACTAGGGAACATGGTGTCTCTTTAATCCATTTTCACCAGACGGCACCCCGACACTCGAAGAAAATGGAATCTTAATTCTTTGATGCCCTGCTGCAATGATGGGAATCAGGGGAGCACAGCAGTTTGCGACGTTTTGGTGATAGGCCCTCTTCGGTTGATGAAATCTGCATCAATAATGCGTGTAGCTGTACCGCAATCATGCAGCCAAATTCCACGTTTTCTAGTTGGTATGCACCTCTGTTGCACAAGAGGCACAGCATCTCGCTGGGGGCTGGATGAGCTGCCTTCTGTTTGACTTTCTTCTAAAGTATAGCTCGCCATGCGTTGCACCCCCATATCTTCACCCATGCTCTCACAGCGGGTCCAGCTGTGCTTTCGACGCAAATTCGCAACCAACGAGCTTCTGCAATGGCGAGCAGGGCCACCATCACAGGCGCCCTTTCAAGGAACTGCCACTAGACTGTGCGGTTCAAACCTTTGATTCATTTCCGCTGGGCCGCTTAGGCAAAGTCACCAGCATTTATTCCATGCGCACATCAATCGCTAATTAATTTAACAAATCATGAATTGCCAACAAAATAGCAGTTGTGCCAATCGTGCCTCCTGCCAAACCTCCCATTCCTGACAACGTGCCGAAATGTGGCAACTGATCCCTTTTAGAACGCCATTCATACCTCCCTTGTGAATACTGCAACTCGCTCCGAGGAGACGCGTCCTACACATGCGACGAGAGTGCTGACAACACCCTGCAAATCGCAAGCTTCCTGCCCATGCATCCCTTTCCCAAGCAGCGTCTTTGGCAATGTGACGATCGCCTTGCAGTTCACATGTGTATATCGGGATCAACCACCCTTTGGACCAATCGCGACTTGAGGAGTGTTGCATCGACTGCAGTTGCCCAACTGTCCAGAATTGGCCAGTTTTGATGCCGATCGCACTCTTCCTCCTCAACTGGGCCCGAACACAGGAACTTTCATTGTCTCCTCCACTTTCTCCACCTCATTCTGACCCTCAGAACTTCATAACCGGCTTTGCGATGGAAAATGTTCCCCTCACACGTGCCACATCAACAGAAACCTCTTGCCAAAAGCCACGTCGTCCATGAGTTGTATTGAAGCACACAGCACTTCATCTCCATTGCGACGCACTTTGGAACAAGTGCAGAACAAATCAGCACCTGAGGGTTTTGAGACATTACCAACATGAGCGTCCCATTGCCTGGCACTCCCTCCACGACCCAACATCGCATCCATCACCACAGCACATTGGTCTCACCGAACAAAAAATGTCAAATTCAAATCCAAACCAGCACTTAAAGTGTCAATTCGCAAGTCGTGACTCGCCCTACGCTCGTCCGTTTCTCTTCCGCATTCATGCAGGCCCATTCAATATTTAAATAGTCAACTGCTCATCCCAAGAATCACTTCGTGCGTTCAAGAACTGACTTCCCCTTTCCCCTGTTCTTGCAGGAAAAAATCCCCAACCAATCCGTCCGCAACTTCCTGCCTTGATAGATCCAATTCAGTCATTCCGATCCAAAAACGAAACCCAGGGACGACTGCATGGCCACCAAGGTCGCCCAAAGCGAGAACCAATTCAGTCATTTCGATCTGGAAACCAAACCCAGTGCCGAATCCAGAGCCACCAAGGTCGCCCAAAACTCCCGCAAGTACCCACCAGCCATGAGCCGCTGACTTCAACGCACACCCCACACACACCCCACCACAAGGGGCAACTAGCCAGTCTCCACACCAGCTGCCAGATGCCAGTCTCCGTGTCAGTTGTCACGCAAACCGCCGACAGTGATACCGCCAATACAACCCCCATTGCAGTCGCGGGCGCCCCAAAAGGCGAGTCCTCGCCTCCCGTCCACCTACCCCAGGGCGCCCAACCTCCCACTCATCGGAGACTCTGTGTCATCTTTTACAGCATGGAGAAGACTCTCGGGCACACTTGCTCAGGAGGGGGTGCTTTTTGCATAACTTGTTTCTCTCTTCATTTGTAACAAATTTTGCCCACCCTCCCACCCATTCCACCATTTTCCCCTACCGCACCCCATCGACCCCAGTCCCGCAGGACTCCTCTGAAGACCCTGCAGTGACTCCAGAGTCCAGCCCGCTGGTGCTGCCTTCCCTCTGCCCCATGTCCTTCCCTCCCAGGCACCAAGTGCCTGCCCACACCCCCTCCCCGCCCCCCCTCCTCCCCCCGGCCCCCCCTGCAATGTGCAGAGGGCACAAGGCTGCCCCCATGGCCTCGTAGGCCTCGATCGCTTCTTGAGTCACGTCCGCCGCCCACTCCCGAACCTCTGCCTTGGTCCTAAACTTTGGGATCGCAGATCCGGCACTGCTGGACTGTGTCAGAATCCTGCCCATATTTTCAGAATCCAGCGCTTCCGATGCACCACAGTCCCTCACAAAGATCCCAGATAGAGCGGCACTGGCCGCATGCGATGCCGCTGCGGCCTTGCTCTCGATCAGCTCGTGGCGATCGGCGTATTTTCTGGGAGGAGCCCGCCAGCCATATTTGTACATCCCGGGCTGGATTTCTGCAACTTTGGCTGTGAGGGGGGGGAGGATTTCTCCAGATGCCACAAAGAGGTCGCCGGAGGATGTGGTCCCCTGGACAAGGCCCACGGCGCCGGAGGCATCCCTGGCGGCCAGCACGCGCACAGTGCTGGAGTCATAGAGGCAGAAGGCGAAGCGGCCACGCAGCTTGGCCAGCATGTCTGTGCCCAGGCGCTGGTACAGCCTGCAGGGATTTTGTGGCAAAAGGGTTAAAAAGAGAAAGGACTTGTTACAAAGAGAAAGATGAACAGGTCACAAACAGGGGCTTGCCCAGCTGGGCAAGTGCATGACTCTTTTTTCATGCTGCGAAAGTTGATGTCAAGTTTCCCATTGTGGGGGAAGGGGAAAGGGTGGAAAGGGGAACTCAGAATGAGGAGGCGCACATGGGGAAGGCTGGGTCCAGGTGGGGTTTAGACCGATCGTCACGGAGGCGAGGTACTGGTCACGGAGGCAAGGTACTGGCCACGGAACGGGCAGCAGGCGATCGACGAAGTGCTTGGCAGTGTGGACCGCACTCAACTGGTGCGCAGCCGCCGAAATGGGCGTGGAGTGATTGCCAGAGAGGAAGGAATGGTGTTGAAAATGTGCTCAGCTCTCCCCTGGTCCAGCCCCAGTTGTTACACAGAGAAAACCCGCTGATGGAGGCGGCACAAACCGTTCAGAGTTGGAAACTGGACTGTTGCCAGGCGTCAACAAGGTGGTTTTGCACCTTTGGCAGCGTCCACAGAGTCAGGAACAGAGAAAGCGTCCCACGAACTCAACCAGGTTCTCTCAGGAGGAGCTTCCACTGCATCCCATACTCCCCTGCCCATTCACAATCCTCCAAACCCACCTGCAGAGCAGGGCGGCGTCCCTGATCGGCGTCGTCTGCCTCAGGTCCTCCAGGCTCACGCCCCGCCCCATCCCCACCTCCTCCACGAAGTACTTCCTCACCAAGTACGCATAATTCTGGATCGTCCCGCTCAGCACCGCCATCAGCGGCCCCACGACCGCCACCTCCGGGCAGCACCCCGCGCCCTCCACCGCCAGCCCGCCGCCGGGCATGCAGATCACCGTCTTGGTCCTCCCGCCGAAATCCAGCCCCTCCAATGCGGATCGGATGCGATCCCGATGGTCTGGCCGGCTGGCGCGGCCCGAGCCGCCCAGTTCGATCGCCTTGGGCGGGCACAGGCACAGGAAGCTACCCACCGTCATGGCTCCTGAACCACGCCTTGGCCGATTGGCGGGATCGGAAAGTGTGTGGGGCCTCAAGGAGGGGAGATGGCGGCTGTTCGGTTGGTTGGTTGGTTGGCTTGGTTGTAGGCGGAGGAGGAGGTTGGGTGCAAAAGTGAGAGGCGGTTTTGGCGCGCGTCCGCACGTCTGGGACGAGGAACAGCGCGCGGCAATGGCGGGGGACGGCCGAGCGGTCCACAGGGTGGGTGGACGGGAGGGGCTGAGGAAGTACGGCGCCACATTTCGATTGAGGGTGTGCGGCCGATGGGGAGCATCCAAGGGGTTGTTCCTGGGCGCAAACAAACAGGGAATCGAGTTGCTCGACGGCCGTTGGCGGCCAAGCGAAGCATCCGCATAATGGGCCGTCGGCCGACCATGGGTCATCGATGATGCAGGTTTCTGCTTGAAGGGGTCCTCTTCCCTAGCCAAGTGTCCATCAAAGACGTTCTCATCAGTGTTCCAAACTCACAATACCCATGCCTGCCAAACTCAGCGCACCTGTAGCTTCACTAGGCACACCAAAGTACCTATTCGCCGGTACCTTAAAGTTCGTGCACTCCGCAAACCGAAGCCAAGCTCAAAGGGATGGCCGGCTGTGTGCAACACAGGGTAGTTCAACACCAACTTGGTGGTCCTTGGGCACCCCTTGAGTAGGGAGGCTGCCCGACAACTGAGAAAGCCTCCCAAGGCGCCCTGTTTAAACATCAGCTTTGGTCTCCTTAAAAATATCTAAGAGTCCAACAAATCACTTGCCCCATGTTCAAACGTAGGTTGTGGACCAGAGGGTCCAAGCATGCATGGAGCAGGGCAGCCAACGACATATGCTGGCTGCCCAAACCGTCTGGAGTGCTTTATGTATCCAAAGCGCCCACCCACGCCTCTCAAGCTCGTAGACTAAGCATTGATCATATGGCTGAGTAAGGTTCATATGGAGCAGTTGCGGCAGTGGTGTTTATAATCGAATTGTGTTGCATTGTGGCAAATGGCATTGCCCTCGAAGTAACCATCACATTCGCAAATGGTTTAATATAGAAATAGACCAATATACACGGAATTCAGATATTGACTCAGCTCAACTTAAAGGCTTGCCCATTCACAACCAACATAATGAAAAGCAACTACAATGCTTTCTGCCACAATCAGCAACAAGTGATACGACAATCGAATAATCAAAACCCCAAAGTTCTCTATGTTTCTTCCACTTTTGATTCGAACTCGCTCCATAAACCAGGATGGCAGAAACCACTGTCCATTCCTGCTCATGCAAGAATCTGCAAACGCCCATCAACACTGGCATCCCATCTCGCAGGTTCACTGGAGTCTCCAACGGCTCCTTGTGATAATTGCCTCCCTCGAAAACCAATGACTTTGCATCAACCCTGCATGGCAGCAACGTTACCCTCAGTTGGGCACCATAAAATCAATTTTGAGAGGAAGAGAAGATCGTTTAACATCAATGAAGCTCAAGCGTTGAAAGCGCAACCACATAACATTAGATGTGGATTAGATCGATCAAATTGTTTCACCTTTCTGCAAGCACGTATGCAACGATGGATGCCACTCACCATGCCACATTGGGTTGGCCCTCCATGCCTCAAATTGTTTCCTGGAAACAACTTGTATATTGTATAATAGATATTACAAGCTTGTGACACACAACTTAAGTTGTAGCTCACAACAGGTACCCTTCAGCCGGCTTCCTTACCAAGGGTACATAAAAATTGGCTGATCAGATTGCCAAAGCGTCTTGAAACGGCCCAAACGATATACAGAGCCCGGCCGCCAAGAGCGCCGTGTTTTTGGCTAGGACATGGGTGCGCGCTATATGGGTACTCCCACTACACTGCCAAAAACACTCGGGTTCCACAGATGTTTGGCCATTTTGATGCACTGTTTTTGAGACGCACCCCAGAACATGTTGCACGCTCCCTGCACCGAGAAAACAAGAAGAAAACCGAGAAGGGAAAGACATGCACAAACCACAATCCACAGTACTGTTTGTTGTGCAACATATGTGCAAATTTTAAACGTCATTCTCTGTGAAGCAGTACTTGTTGTCAGCGCACATCCGGTAGATCGTGTATAGAAATCTCCATTTACTGGCCTCAGAATTTTTGATAAACAGCAAATCTGTCAAGTTCACACCTAACTGTTTTCCTGTGCTTCTGTGCACTGATTTTGAGTGTCTGCTTCCTGGACCTAAATGGGTTGCACACCGTGATATGGGAATAAGAAAACAACACTCAATAGACAGAATCTATATCATTTGGATGCCTGATCCCAAATGGTAAGTAACTTATAGATTATCCATTTTACTGGGTAACTCAGGGAGCAAATCACACCATAGCTTCAGTAGCACTGCTGAGTGCCAGTGTACCAGCATCCCACTTGCAAAAGTT